GGGTTTAACAGAGCGGGACTCGGGCACTGCGGTGCCTCGGCTGAGCCCCGAGCGCGCTGTGCCGCGGGTTCGCCACACGAGGGAGACACTGAGCCGGCGCTGCTGCTGCAGGATGCGGTCCCAGTGAAGAATTCTTTTTGTGGAAAAATACTCATTAATAGGATAAGTTTATTATTAATAGGTGTGCTAAATGTTGATTGTGTTGGATGTACCTGCATTAAGAGCTGACCATTTCTTCCCTTCCTTTCTTTGATTCTATCCAGGTTTGCTGGATGTGAGTGTGAGGTACCGACGCTCCCTGAAAGCAGCAGCAGGAATTGCTGCTCAAGCTGTTACACTTTCTGTACGAATACACAGGGCAGCTGGCTTGCAAGCGGCAGCCAGGTAAAGCCTAATTCAAAAAGGACCCTTTTTCACTTAAAACAGCTTTATCTGGAGGTGGAAAGCTGAGGAATGAGATTAGAACAAATTTTTACTGGCCARCTTTCCATCTGCAGATACCRAGTGGGTTCTGCTCCAAAGTGAAAACAACTTTACAAAGACCATCAGCAGTTATTCTGGTCCCTGAAGCTGCAGTACAGGGTGGTAGCATTCATTCTGCAGAAGGATTGAGATTGGCAGGGCATGTTTTCCTACATTTCCACATTTTTCTACACCAAAGATATAAAAATTGGCTGATAGAAGATGGTACCTGTTTGGGCATTGGATCCTGGTGTTGCTGATGCTATTTAAAACCTAGCTGAGGTTCTTTTCTTGCATTTCACGGTGGAAACCTCAATAAACTWACCAGGCAGTGAAATGTCCCTTTCCACCATAGGGCTTGTGCTCCAAKGGCATGGTATCAGCTGGACATGGTTCAGAATATGTGGTTTTTCAAGAATTAGGAAAGGGCTAGAATAGAGGCAATTCCATAAGAGAAGGATGGCTCCTGACATTCCAGAGCCATGGGCTGGCCCTTTCTCAGTGTTGCTGTGAGCCCCTGACCCATCTTCATTCACACAGACCCTGAAAGATGAGGATCACTGTGCTTGGAGAAGTCAAGAGAATGGAATGACCTCAGACTCCTCATCCTTCAGGTGTATGACCTGAGTAATACTTGGGTCTGGTTTACTTGTAAATTATTCCATTTGCTAATTCCACCTCCTTTTGCTGGTCAGWACTGGTCTGTAAAAATAATTTGGCTTTACCTTTGGCTTCCTCCTGGAGCAGGTTCTCTGGGAAGTTATGCAGTACAATATATTGTTAAAGGTGCTGAGTACTTTCTCAACCACAGGTAAGAGCACAGCCACTAGTGATTGCCCTCATGAGTTCCTCTCACCATTTCCCATCTGCTCCTAGTATGTTCAGATGGAAAAAAAAAGATGAAAATTCTATGCAGCCAGAGCCCACACACATTTTGACTTGAACATTGACTGTTAGTCCCACCTTTTCAGCTTTGCTTTTAGCGTGTTGGTTCCTGGATTTCTCATACATTATRTGCATTCTCTTCCTTTTTCTCTTTTTTCCACATGTTAAATGAAGATGTGTGGCCCAGAAGAACCCCTCTGTGCAGTACTATGCCGGGGTGGGAGTGAACMCTTACGTGTGTGTGCTCCTGTCCTTCCTGCCCCAGGCACACACACGCAGCACACGAGCTGTGCCCTGCACTTTCTGCCCAGAGTTTGAGCATCACATGGAATTCCTCTGCAATCTCATCATTCAGAAAAGCAGTGGAGAAACCTCTTCTCTGGGGGAGCTCYTRCAGTCTGCCAGTATTGTRTTCTCCATCTACCATCAGAGCACCAAGTCAGGTAAGGACAACAGGTTTGATTACAAGGACTGAATACTGGTGCACAAGTCCCCTTAAATTTAGTATAGAAAATAAATATTCATAGACTAATGGAATAGTTTGGGTTGGGACTTGYAAAAACCTCCCTGCAATGAGCAGGGCCATCTTCCAGCAGGTCAGGCTGCTCAGAGCCCTGTGCAGCCTGAATTTGACTGTTCCCAGGGAACCCTGAGTTGATAATGGGTGTAATAACCTAAACTGTCTTCAGCAGAGACTGTTCCCCTTGTGCAAAGTGTTTTTGAGACTTGCAGTGATCAAGATCACCTCTTAACAGCTAATGCATGTAAAAGGATTGAAGGTGTTGTCAGTGGGACAGCTGAGCCATTTGCTGTTGAGGCATTGGAGGWTTTTTGCAGAGGCAGAACTCTGAAAGCACCTCCAGCAGCTGCACCAGCTTTCTGCAGTCAATCTCCTCTGAACCTTGTGTTCCAGTTCCCTGTGGCTACAGAATTGTTTCTTTTCCAGCCACTGACAAACTGACTGATAGAACAGGTAGAGATTATCTTCTTGGGACAGTCACAGTTCCAACCAGAGACCTGCTGACAAGAAGATCAGGTAATGCAGCTGTGCTGCTGACATTCTGTGCAAATGCTATTGTAATTCCTTAAAACTGTTTTCATTTCTGGTTTGGGGGSTTTGTTTTGTGAGTTTTATGGGTTCTTTCAGACCAAAGTTCTTTCACATTTTCCCCATGTGTTCAGTAAAAATCCTGTAGTAGGGAAGTCACATAAAAGCTGTTGTTTGAGGTGAAAAAAATCTGTTTTCAGGGTGTAGGATGTCTAATGTCTGAATGGATATTCTATGAAGAAATTTAACTCCATGCCAGCTAAAACCAGCACCTAAAATCCTTGGGATTTTATTCACTGCTTTTTATTTTCTAGATAGAAAGTCCAAAAAAGATGTAAACTCTAGAAGTTTACTCCCATGAGTTGTAGTGTTRAGTGCTGGACCAGTGACTGCTTTTCAGATGCCAAAGCTGGAAACAAAAGTCTTAGATAATTAGAAAATGGCAGGATTAACTCTTCTTTTTTGCTTTTTAACTACTTGTGAAATATCTAGTGCTCCTTTGGGGCCCCTTCCACATCCAGGATATTTTGTGACTTTTCTGTGAAAAAAATATTTACGTATCTACCCACTAACAATCTCCTCTGTCTAGCGTTAGTTTGRGATTATTATGTCTTGAAATAATGATGTTTTTATTATTGGCTTGGTTATTTCTGCTTTCATTTCAGTAAATTTCTTATTTTCTCCAGCCCAAAATTTTGGGGTTGTTTTTAAAAGGAAGAGAGTAGGAAAGAAATGAGAATACATAATTTTATAAYTGGAGGTCCAAGGGATTTAGTTTCATTGTAAAATGGATGTCATTAATGAAGGGAAAATCCTTTGGGGTCYGAACTGCTGAGGTTTTTTGAAGGGCCAGTAACTCGTTGCTTTTTCAGATTAGAAATTATTTAATAAATTCCAGGTGAAAAATGAACGCTTGGAGTTGTAGTCCTTGACTGATGAGCAGAGAGCTGCCATTCCTCACTGGCATTTTTCAGTAGTTTGTTTTCAGGGTTCCTCTAATGTGCTCTTTGCTCCCAAAGGTATTTGGGGCTGGTACCCCGTGACCCTCCCCGAGGAGCTGCTGCCCCCCCAGCACACAAACACCATGCAGAGCATCGTGGGAGGGCTGGAGCTGGCTGTAGCCTTTGGCCATCAGGGTGACAGGGAGCGTGTTCTGGAGGCTGCCAGGCTGCTGGGCTGGAGCAGGGACGAGCTGCAGGCACACAGCGAGGATGACGGGGAGCAGAGTGGCACCACAGTGACTGTCACCATATCCACCCCACGGCTGTGGCTGCCCCTGCACTCTGTGCTGCTGGCAGGACACAAACASCTGCACAGCAGCACCCACTGCTACCTCAGGTACAAACTCTACAACCAGCAGGCCATGTGGACATGGCTGAAGCGGCCAAAACTGAGCAACGACAGCGAGAGCGTCACCGTGACCTTCAGGAAACCCAACAAGGTGAATCTCAGGAGGAGCCAAGGACTGCTCTGGTTCCTCAGAGAGGAGAAATTGGAAATCCAGGTGTGGTGGGCATATGGCAAGGAAAACGAGGGGGAAAGACCACTTGATACAGATCGTCTGATTGGATCTGCCTACGTCAGCCTGGCAGCGCTAGCAGAGAGCTCGAGGACAGCAGTGAGTGTTAGTGGTGAGTTCCTAAAACACGGGGTGGTGTTTCTTTCCTCTTTATTGGCACCTTAACRGGGTTCCTTCTCTACACACTTTAAACAAAATTGCAGTGTTTTGTCCTGCACAGAATCCCAGGATGGCTGGGGTTGGTGTGGATCTCTGGAGATCACCAG